ATGCGACACCGTAAATAAACACATGTGCAAACGAAAAATGGCGGTTCTGTCATGTAACAAGGTAATTCCTCACTGAAAGCAATGACACACACTTAAAGAACTTTTTCTGCATGGAAAAGTGAATAAAATCTTGGATGCACGATCCCTTTCTCCAATTGCAATGTCTCAATTGGCTAAATTCATACCGTAATATTGAAGAGTGTATGCCCAACCCTGATCGACCTAACAGACATACACCTATTTATAGATAACAGGGATTTATCAGTGCCTTCTCAGGGGCCGAAATTCGGCCCCATTCCCAATTGAAAATGAGTTCACTTTTTCCCACTTTGGCAGTATTTTTCCCAATTGGTGAACAATGCTTTTATTTTAAATTATCTTGGAAAACACAAAGTAAAATTGTCAGATTGTCTGTAATTTTCATCTATTTAACTCATTTAGCAAAGCTACAGTCATAACACATGTTTATAAACACTGTAAAAACATCGCCAACTTTTAATCCGAATTTCCTCCGTTTTTCTAAAAATGATGATATTGTGTAATTATATAGATTTATTAAGTTATTTCCACCTACTCAATTGATCTGTGAGTGAATGGTAAGGACTTTAGGCATAATTTCAGATAGAAAAATATATTTTCAATGCATTAATACATATTAAAAGAGGACTTTTAGAAAATGTGTACTTAGTATAATTTTTTGCAGGAGGTTTATAATCTCCAGAAACAGATATACTATAATGACCTAAATTGAAATCTCATACACACATGTACATGTACTACCCTAAGTTTTATAAATACTTTAAACTCAATGAAGTCCATTTTACTTTTATTAGTCTATTATTCATAACTGATCTTGTATGATGAAGATGGATCATATTTAATTGTCGTTTGGTTTCCCAAATTAGAGTTCATGCTGAAATGTTAAATGAATTACCCCTGAATACATGATTTAAGCAACATTTTAAATTTTTTTCCAATTTCATCAAATAGCCAATAATTTGTTTACCCATTCCCCAAAAATGGCGTTTCCCAAAATAGGGTGATAAACCCATGCATGATCAAGTTATTATAACCTTTATTTCAACGTCAATTACTTTTAATATTGTTAAACAATTAAATTGTATTTTTCTTCAATCTAAATTTAACTTAAATTTGGATCCTTAATTTAGTTTGTGGGGATACCGAGGTTTATAACACATCACATATCACCGAAGAGCACACAAAGAAGTTGAACATACATCATGATCGAACCAAGCACTGATTGACAAATAAAAATCAGAACTAAATGAAAATGACATTCAGTCTTAAGTTAGAAATGAATTAAAATTAAATAAAAAGAGTTATCATATATTTGTTCAATAATACAGGATTTTTGCATCCCTGATATGAACACAGACACGCGCCCTGTATTATACACCCTGTATCAGCACCCTTTATTTTACCCTTTATTACACCTTTCCGGAACATCTCTGTATTTTTCATTCGGAGTATCTCGGATCTTTTTCTATTAATTGTTTATGAAGTTTATTTAAACTGTAAATTTTCATCAGATATTTTATGCTATTCAAAATAATTATTTGTTTAATTTATAATTATTTCATTTCTTATCGCTGTATGCATTGCCTTTGGAAAAAAAATAATAAGAAAGGAAATTTAACGAAAAAAAGAACATATTCAATTATTAAGAACTAATTAATTTACAGGTTTATATATGATTTTTTGACACTATTTTCAAATATATAATAAAAACAATAATACATGGCAAAATCTGTATCACACCCCATATCAACCCTCGATCAATATCAGCCCTCTGGCCTTCGGCCCTCGGGCTGATATTGGAGTCTCGGGTTGATATGGGGTGTGATACAGATTTTGCCATGTATTATTCTCTATTTATGTGATGTAGACAATAAAACTTAAAAGTACTATTGACGTGTATTATTTTTATTAAATAAACATTGCCCAGGTATTTTAAAATGAAATTGTTCAATCCTAAATTATTTTTTTTTTATTTTTCGACCACCCAATGCATTTTTTTGAGACAGAAAATCGTAAACCAAAAAAAAAAAAAAAAAAATAAAATAAAATAAAAACTTTGGCCTCACCGAAGTAATAATATGATATGTCTACATTATATCATTTAAACAGCATTTCAAGTGGAATCGATCTTCAACATTTGTTGATTGTTTTCTTTAATTAAACTTATAGTACAAGTCAATATACTTTTAATTGTAAAGTCCGTTTTACAATTTATTTTTTTTCGGAGACTCAAAACACCATTTTTTTTAAAAATAGGTGTCTTTCTTTTCAACATTTCATTTTAATTTTTTTCTATGAAGAGGATATTTAAAATTATGACTTTATTTTTATTCCCTGTTAAACAAAACATGCAAGGGGAGAATAATTGTTGAAATGTTTTTAAGTACGCATTGAGAAAAAATAAGAAATAAGTTTTCATTGTACGTGCTATGAACAAGCGGCCATTTTGATTCTATATCACTATGTATTATTTATGTGCTTCATAAAATGACGAGCTTTCACGAATGTATTACTTATGCATGATATTCCTCATAATTATATTCTCAAGAATGGCCTAATTCGAAAGTTCCAAAATAATTCAAGTATTTAGAACATGACCGTTCATAATAATGGGAACGTTATACATATTTTATGAAGCAATATTAGCAATGTCAGTTGCAAAATTTGAAATGTCATCAGTTACAAAAACAAATGCTAGCTTTGATATCCATGCCTGATATTTTTCTTTTAGTGGTAAAGATTTATGTTATATTTTCATGAAAAAAGTTTCTAACGGAAACAGTAAGATGAAGCACCGAGACTCATTTTGCGAATAATTAATATCATAATGTTTGCTGTACCTTTTTCTATATAAAGAGTGATTTCTTCATAGCACAAAATCATCTGACACTAAGTCTTTATATATATTTCAGCCAATAAAACAATTATTATACGATTAGTTAATAGCACTATTTCTTTGAAAAATTTCATAGTAAATTAATGTATTTACAAAAGATCTCCTAATTTTCAAATATACATGCAATGCAGGCTTGGGGCTTATTACATTGTAAAATATAATGCATAATATTACCATTACTTCTAGAATTTGGTCATTAAACTAGCATTACCATTACTCTTCTTTCTTAGAGTAATGCATTACATTACCATTACCTTGGTTACGTTATGCATTATTAAACTTTAGAATAGTAAAATACTATTACGGAGTGCCTTTAATCTTCAACAATGCATCAATAAATGATTTACAGCACAATGTTGTACTCACGGTGCCAAATAATTCTAGAGACGTGGTTCTAAAGAAAAGACGCACAGTGTATATAAAATTTATTTCTAATTATTTAAATAATATTTAAAAATGCACAGAGCAATTATGCGATTACATGGAAGTGTGAAAATAAATTATGTGTCTTTGTTCCTTCATATATGTAAAGTCCATCGAGGGTCTAGGAGATAAGGAGATAATTCATAATACAAGGTGAAGCAAGTCACTGCGCCCTAATGAAGAGATAATTAGGTGCTCTGCTTTAAAAATTGAAAGAAGGTAGCTTTCTTTGCTTAAAATTTCAGATAGAGAAAATTTGTTCTTGTTTTTCTTATCGTCGAAGACCTTACTGTGTCGCAAAAATTTTACTGTGGCGCATGCATAAAATTTGAATCGTTACTGTGCCGTAGGAAATTTTACTGTGTCGGGGCCGACACAGTAAAACAGCTCATGGAGAACCCTGGTAATACCATTATTATTACTTTTTGGGTTTGATATGTAAAATTTATGCAACTACTTGTATTTTATCGAGAGGCGAGATCGAAATTTCTAAAAAGCTTGGTTCAAAATTATATGTGTAGAATGTTGATTCAAATTTAATTGTAAAGTGCTAGTATTTTTTATATCATAATTTTATTACATTTCTTTTCGTTATCCCTAAGAAGAAACATTTATTTACAAATATCATAAAATTTCATGTATAGTACTGTATGTATGTATTTTCTATAATTATTAATGCCAGAAAACAAAAACTTTGGGACTCTTCACCCCCCCACCCCCCCCCTCCCCCAATTTGGATTTGGGTTTTTAATCAGACATCAATCTTTTGAACTTGTCCATTTTGAAACAAATCCCAACACATTCACAAGTACGAAGGCTTGGACAGTGTCTATATTTTTTTCTCTTAAAGTAGCATATCTGTATTCTATTAATATTGGACCGGTCACGGAAGCTTAGTGGTATAGAGTGTTTGCTTCGTAATCGGAAGGCCCGAGTTCGAATCTCGTTCGCCGCGCCGCGTCAAACCTGTAAAACGTAGCTCGGCATCTGAAGTGAAAATCATCAGACCTCAAAAATCGAGATCCCGTGTCACGCTTGGCGTTTGCGCGATAAAAAAAACCTCACTGCTCAAATGGCACTGGTGCCAGGCATTGGTCTCAATATAGAGTCCCTCATCGGTATTTTGGTGACGTTTCTATAAGTCCAAAATATCTTACGTTATCCAGACGTTTTTCACGATTTTGATATTTGCGTGCCAGGAAAACGTCAGATTCGGCGTCATTAAGAAAGGAGGAAATTTCGCCGCCCTGAACTGAACTCAAATTTTGATACTTGCAAATCGAGATAAACGTCAAACTCACAACGTATCAGTAGCACAATCCTGAATCTAATAATCCATCTGCATAAATTTTGATCTTATAATTTGTTTTGTTTTATTTTTGCATGCACGTATACTTTAAAAGTTATGCTAAAGTTATACAAAATCAGAGAAATACACAGAAGCTCCTTTAAGCTGAGGGGCGTGGAGAATTCAAAATAACTTTTTTCTTTACATAATCTGTAATGAAATTAAATGTTCTTGCTACTTTTAATTTGTCCTTTTTTTTCGAGAAACCAATATATTGTAATCAAAAATTAAATATTTATAGATTCCATTACAATTCTTGAATTTTCTTCAGTAAAGTAACAGAAATGGTCTTACTTTTGCTATAATATTAGAGGATGGCTCTTCCAGAATAGACCATATTTTTGCTTGTATGGACGGCCATCCACTTCCTTGAGCTCGGCGTTGGAGTTCTTTGCGTTCATTAATTCTTTGAGTTTGGTCATCTGTCAGAATTGATAGGGCTTTCTGGTCGTCGAAAAAGCCCACATATTTACTGTAGCAGCAATGCTCCATAGCTTCTGGATCAACGCCCCAAAATTCCAATTCATTCTTGAATTCGGCAGTACATGTCAATGGGGGTAAATGAAGACCGTTTCCTTGAAAGTAACCAAGAACTGCTAAAAACGATGTAGGATTTCTCTCTAGGAAATACTCGCCTTGCTTTTCTGCTCTCGCGGTCATTTTCTCAAGTTCACGTTTTGCATGGCTCATGGTTAATGTTATCTGCTTAAAAGTTTCAGACGACACCTCATACTTTGTTCCACTTATATTGATGATGATTTTGTCCTCCATTATCCCTGTGACTCGCAGTTTGACTTTCTGTGAGGTAGTTTTATCAATTTTTTTCTGTATTTAATCCGTGAGATTGTGAGAAAAATCAATGCGAACAATTGACGTACGCCTGGAGATGCTCATCAACTTTTCATACATATATCTATACTTACTATTGTCATAAAGAGTTATGTAAAATAAACATACGATGCTAATTAACTAATAGAAGAACCAATGTAATTTTTCCAATTCAATTCGATATGATGAATGCGACAGAGAAGGCTTCCATTATTCTCCTTGGAATTCATTTAAATTTTCAGCCCATGTAAACAGCATCTACTTGTTTGAAAGATGTATGTGAATTTAAGTTTGATTAACATATTTTTAAAACTGTCCACTTGTCACAAAGAGTCCGTTTTGTGTATCTTTGTTCAAGCTGCATTATCTATCTAGATTTGAGTTGCTTTTATGTTCTGGACGTCAATAATTAATTTCAAGAAAAACATTCAAGTTAACGATTCATGCATGATATGTATGAAATGTAATTTCGCTCACATGACAACAGCGTAAAGTTCCTTTCTCATCAATTTTTTGTCAACAAAAATCGACAAAAGAACAACATGCAGCGACTTGATGAATGACCTCCCTCTGGATATACACTTAAAAAAACTCCTCAAAGTAGCCACTTGGACATGTAAGTAGAAGTTCTATTTAGTAGGAGAGTTCTAGTTTTGTTTTATTTTCAAATATTTGTATTGTTTTTTCTTTCCTTTCTTTTTTCTAAAGTACACTTTTGATATAAAATTGAATCTCACTTCCAAAAATTCAGAGGTAAAAATTGTTGCTGGACGTGAATATAATTTAAACATATACTCTTTACAGATTATGAGATTCGCGACATATTAGCAATGATTTTGATAAAGCTTGGGCATTTAGTTTGATATCATATTTTGTCACTGAATGAACACAGAAAAAACATCTAAAAATTGAAGGGTAAGATAGCCCAAACGGAATTCCATAGCGTTACCTCGCCATTTTTTTCGATGTGCTAATATTTAGGACGCTGGGGCTCATGCGCTCACGCCTTTTAAAGCAATAACATCTGTAGACAACCTGTTGAAGCAGCAAAGAATCGCATAGTCAACATTTTAGCACACCGATATGTCAACAAAAGTTGCAGTGGTAAGTTGTTTTCTTATTTTGAAAGTGGTTTTCAAAGAAAATGTTCCCCTTTGGCCTATATTTGTTTCCTGTTACAATCTGTTGAATATTATATGTTTTATGCGTACAATCAGAATATAAATGCACGGATGATTTTTAATGACACAAATAAGATAGGAATGCTTATTGTAGAAATGAACGTCGATAGGACTTAGGATTTTCCTTTGATTACGCAATTCTACACACACATTTATATATGGCGCCGCGTCAATGCAAATAGAAATATAAAATCGCCGTCTTTATCAAATATCGTTTATTTGCCCGAAGTTATTTGATGAATTCAGCATCAATTATGCAAATCACATGGTACTATGAAACTTTGACAATCTTACCCACTCTACTCCACAAATAGATTCATGCTTATGCAATATGGGTGCGGGGGGGGGGGGGAGGCGTTACATCATAAAACAAAATGGTGAAAATCACGTCACATTGTGTGAAGTCTTTTACATATTAGATTATGAAGAGCAAGAAATGCAATCAAGAAATAGATTAGCAGAAACTTATATATTTGTTAATGATTACTGATGGAATGGTATGGTAGAGACATTTGAGTAGTTTTATATGTAGGACAGACTGGGAAAAAGCTAAAAAAAAGTTAAGTTTTAAGTAGAGGTGACTTATTAAAACTAAGTGAAAGAGAAATCTTTGAGAACTGCTATATTTCCCAAGTATTATATAATGTATATTTTTGGCTTTAGATATTATCAAACAGACTGATTATCAGTTCATTGACATAATAAATTTATTTTTCTGCTCTAATCTCTAATACAAGGAAAAACAACAACTTACAACAACAACCACAGCATTATTAAAAAAAGAAAGTACAGTTGAACTTCGGTATCTCAAACATGGATATCTCGAATACCATGGATATTTCGAAGTGATTTTGAAGTCCCAAGCACTTATTTCTTAAGTATTTTACCCTGGATATCTCGAATCCTTGGATATCTCGAAGTATTTCCTTGGTCCCTTGAAGTTCGAGATAACGAGGTTTGACTGTATTTAAAAAATGTGTTTTTATATTTTACGATTTGTCTCATAGAAAATTTATATTTGATACTCATGCACAACAGAAAATTGAGTAATCAATTAATTTAAATATTTTATTGGTACAATATCATTTCCTGTAAGTTCACTTTAATTTATAAATAAAATGATGAAGCTGAAAATTATCTGTTTAATATGCATATTAAGATGCATTGCTTCACTTGGCTTCTTTATAAGAATACAAAATAAAATCATTTTAAGATAAAAAGCAGATTATGTTTCCAAAAGGAACATTTATTAAAAATGGGAATAAAAAGCACGATGGAGAGAAAAAGTTATCATCTTTAAGATTATATTAGAACTACAACATTATGCAGATACAAGTTTACAGCCAATCTGGTAAGAAATTTGATGAAATATGAAATAAAGATCTGTTGCACAGGCAGTCATGAGGATAGAAAATGCATGTGCTATCACATAACTTTAAGGACAATCTGATAAATGTTATTGACTAACACATTCAGGAAAAGGTCTATGATCATGCTCAGATCAGATCAATTCTAATTTTTGTTCATCTTTTACAACAAGGAGGATACATGACATTGCTTAAGTTAACCAATCCAGTATGAATTTAGGGTTTTTCAGAATGTAAAAGGAAAACATGACTTGCAAGTTGCAAAAATAAATAAATAAAAAAAGTAAATAAATAAAAAATACACACACGTTTATACAATTTTAGTGCTTAAGTCACATATTGGTATAACTTATTCATATGAAAGGTTATATACATTTATCTAGGTAACTGGTTCCAATAAAGGGATTGGGTATGCTATCGTAAGAGGTCTTTGTAAGCAATTCAAAGGCGATGTCTTTCTGACAGCAAGAAATGAAGAGCTCGGCCAGAAGGCTGTGAAAAGCCTAAATGATGAGGGTCTTTCTCCAAAGTTCCACCAGCTTGATATCACTGATCAAGTTAGCATTGAAAGGTTTAGAGACTTTATTAAGAACACTTATGGAGGCTTGGATGTTCTTGTCAATAATGCAGGAATGGCATACAAGCAAGCATCAACAGCTCCTTTTGGGGAACAGGCAGAAGTAACAATCAAAACAAATTATTTTGGCACTCTTGCTGTTTCTGAAGCTCTTTTTCCTCTTTTGAGACCACATGCGAGAGTAGTCAATGTGTCCAGTATGGCAAGTAGTTTTGCTATTAGAAAATGTAGTCCTGAGGTGCAAGCAAAATTCCTTAACGCCAAGATAACAACGGAAGAGCTCACAAAGTTGATGAATGATTTCATTCAGGCAGCCAAAAATGGTGATCACGAGAAGAAGGGTTATTCAAATAGTGCTTATGGAATGTCTAAAGTGGGAGCTAGCGTTCTTTCACAAATTCAGCATCGCCAGCTTTCTGCAGATCCCAGGGAAGACATCATAGTGAACGCCTGTTGTCCTGGATATGTAGACACTGACATGTCATCTCACAAAGGTCCAAAAACAATTGATGAAGGTGCAGATACACCTATTTATTTGGCTCTTCTTCCCGAGGGTGCCAAAAGTCCAGCAGGGGACTTTGTAGCAGATAGAGAAGTTCACAGGTGGAATGAATATACTTACAAGTTTTGAAGTGTTGTCCATTCAATATTAATTAATATTAGAAATTCATAGTATATAGCTTGAATATGAAGCTCAATTAAACATTGATATATATTTTCCTTTGTATTAAATCTCTTTCATACAAACTATTACTTTGTTTGCATCATTATTAGTTTATAGTGAGATAGTACATGTAACCACTCCATAGTGTGTAGTGTATCATTTTCTTTGGACATTTGGAGTAATCTATTTATACATGCAGTGTTTTTACTTCCTTTAAAATTCGTTTCATGCCACTATATCTTTGTAGAAGTCTGGGACAAGATGTTCAAATCTGTTTTTGTATTTATTGATTATAAGTAGTTTCTGAAATTAGATATTGCGAGGAATCAATCTGAGGTAGTTATTTTTCTTGACATCATGTTTTGTTAAATAACTTTTCTTTCAAATTTTAAGGAAAAATTGCTAAATTTGAACCTCGCTAACATTTCCACTTATAGGACACATCAGAAAATATTGTAGGTTATTGACAAGAATGGGCTTTAGTTTCCTAATATTATTGTTTAAAAACATTTTGTCTTATAATTTAAATTATACTTGTATATAGATACTAAGATTGAAAGTTCTGATATTTTGATTTTTAGCTCTTCTGAGTCAAAGGCTCAAAGAGCTAATGCTATGGCCATTTGTGCGGTGTGCGGTGTGCGTAAACTTTTTAGAATATGGGCCATAACTCAAGAACCCCTTGGCCAATTATTGTCAAATTTGTCACAGGGTATCCTTGGCCCAAGGGCTCCCTTTTATACTAAAACTGGGGTTGTGACCCTTTAACAAGGGGAGATAATTAGGAAAATAGAAAAAAAAGTACTGGTTGCTAAAAAATCTTCTTCTCAAGAACCACTGGGCAGATTATCACCAAACTTACACAAAAGGATGAGGATATGTTGTAGATTAAAATTTGCACGGGGATTTACCCTGGGGCAAAGGGCGTGGTCTCAAGGTCACTTCAAAGTTGACCAAAAATTACATTTTATTAAAATGTTGATATTTTGCTTACTATAAGGACTAGGATCATCAAATCTTGTCAGTTGGTGCATCTAAGGACCTCATATCATGTTGACTCAAAAGTAGGTCACGGTGACCTACTTTTTAAATTTTGCGGCCATTCTTTTTCAAAATGATTTAGAGGCATATTTTGAACAATTTAAGGCCTATGATCATCAAACTTTGTCAGTTGATACATCTTGGGTCGTCAAAGTACGTCAACTAAAAAGTAGGTCACCTTGACCTACTTTTTGAATTTTATGGCTAATCTTTTTTAAAACAATTAAGGTCATTAATTCGAATACGGGGAGGCTTAGAATCATTAAATCTTGTAAGATGATGCATCTTGGGGCCATAAAACATATTTATTAAAAAGTAGGTCACAGTGACCTACTTTTTGAACTTTGCAGGCATTCGATTTCAAAGCATTTTAGAGGCATAATTTGGACATTTTAAGTCCTATGATCATAAAACTTTGTAAGTTGATGCATCTTGGGTCCTCAAAAAAGGTCAACTGAAAAGTAGGTCACCGTGACCTACTTTTCAATTTATATGACTATAATTAAATATTTCAGGTACTTACTGGCTTAGAATCATCAAACTTTGTCAGTTGATGCATCTTGGGTCTTCGGAGTAGGTCGACTAAAAAGTAGGTCACCGTGACCTACTTTTGAAAATTTATGGCTTTAATTAAATATTTCAGGTACTAATTGGCTTAGAATCATCAAACTTTGTCAGTTGATGCGTCATGGGTCTTCGGAGTAGGTCGACTAAAAAGTAGGTCACCATGACCTACTTTCGGAAAATTTGTGGCTTTAATTAAATATTTCAGGTACTAATTGGCTTAGAATCATCAAACTTTGTCAGTTGATGCGTCATGGGTCTTCGGAGTAGGTTGACTAAAAAGTAGGTCACCGTGACCTACTTTCGGAAAATTTATGGCTTTAATAAAATATTTCGGGTACTAATTGGCTTAGAATCATAAAACTTTGTCAGTTTATGCGTCATGGGTCCTCGGAGTACAACAACTGAAAAGTAGGTCACGGTGACCTACTTTTGAAATTTTATGGCTGTATTTAATATTTTCAGGAATTATTTGGCTTAGAATCGTCAAAATTTGTCAGTTGATGCACCTTTGGTCCTCGGAGTAGGTTGACTGAAAAGTAGGTCATTGTGACCTACTTTTGAAAATTTATGGCTTTAATTAAATATTACAGGTACTAATTAGCTTAGAATCATCAAACTTTGTCAGTTGATGCATCTTGGGTCCTTGGAGTAAAACAATTGAAAAGTAGGTCACTTTGACCTTATACTTATAAAATTTTATGATTATA